CTTTCCCAGTCCTATGTTTGTTTCCATCATTTTCAAACTGCCAAGGGAGGCTAAACAGCTGATGTGTGGTGGCATGATTATCACAGGAGTACAAATGAGTCAGTAATTGCAGAGCTTGGCATGTCTGATGTCTCCTCATCATTATACCATTGATGACCTCACACCCTCCCTCAACTGGTGAACCATGCTTTCTTCCATGCTAGACAACACTTAGAAGAACCATCAAGGGGAGCGAACATGCGCAAGGATACTATGAACTGGGGAAGTTCAATGTCCCAACACCAAGACTGGCTCAGTTGCAGTAATACTGCTAGAACTCTGTATGATATCATGGTCAGAATGGGCATGTAGCTGATGATCATGGAACCAACACTGGAGGAAAGTCAGGAACAAAAACAGAAGTTGCTGGAAAAGCTCAGCAGATCCGGCATCTGTAAAGAAAAATCAGAGTTAACTCTAAAAATCAGAGTGACCCTTCCTCAGGTCACTCAACAGGAAATGTTAACTCTGATTTCTCTCCACAGATGCTGCCAGACCTGCTGAGCTTTTCTATTTTTGTCCCCGATTTACAGCACCTGCAGTTCTTTCAATTTTTATTTAGCATTTAACTCACTGCCACTTATCTTCTTGGTATGCCCACCTTGAAGATGTTATGCACCTCTTTCTAACAAGATTTCCACTCCAATCTTTCCTCTTGCCCACCAACATTAAATTCACCATCACTCCTGGTGTTTGACTAGGTATTTGCTAAAACCAGCCACATCTCATTTCTCAGTGACTGCCTCCAGCTCAGACTCACCCCACGTGGATTCCAACTCAAGTCTCATCCTTCTTGCTCTGAATCCACCCAGGATCATTTCCACAATGTTAAACATTCCACAGACAGCTGCTCTCGCTGCATCCTGAGATCCACACTCAATACCACGCATTGTTATACGCACACGCTTGACCTCTGTCTCCAACAGCACCACCTCACACTGGCTCAGGACTGCACCATGCCCCGGTTCCACTTCATCCTCCGGCTCATTCGACATGTTAACAAGAAACCTTTTCTTTTCCTTTCAGGCATTGAGGCACACAACTGAGGAAGGGTCACTTGACCCAAAACGCTAACTCTGATTTCTCTCCACACACGATCCCAGACCTGCTGAGCTTTTCCAACAAATTCTTTTTGTCGTCCCAGGAAAGCCTACTTGACCTTGTTCTCATCAAGTGTCTATCAAAGATGCAACAATCCGTGCAGTGTCAGTAGGAGGGATTGCTGCATTATCAAGAGGAGGATGTCATGTCTTCGCATTGAAAATAGCCTCCATTTTGATGCGTGGTACTACCACTGTGCTGAAAAGGCCATTTCCAGAACAGATCCGTTGACTCAAAACTGGGCATCGGTGAGATGCTGTATGCCATTAGCAGCAAATCACCACAATCTGCAATCTCATGCCCCATCATACGCAACAACAAACCTAGGGACCAAGTCTAATTCAATGAACAAGTAGAAGATCAGGCTGGAAAAAGCAGCAAGTTCCCCAAGAATGAGGTGAAGCTACAACACAGGAGGGCTGCTTGCAAGACAACAGCATGCATAGACAGAGCTAAGCAATCCCATGACCAACACATCAAAGGGACACAGGAACAGGAGGTGGCTTTTTGTTCTCATGAATCTGTTCCACCATTCAAAGAGATCATGGCTGATGTAGGTCACATACCTTTGCTCCACATTTCAGAATCCCCTTGGTTAACAAAGTTCTCTCAGTCTCAGATTTAAAATGAACAGTTGGTCTAGTATCCATTGCCATTCAAACTTTTACCACTCATTTTGCAGAGCTATTTCCTAGTTTCACTCTAGAAAGGGTGGGCTCCACTGTTTCAAAGTACAGTATTTCATTGGCTCATATTGCAGTTACATTCCTGAAAACATCATTTAATTTAAAATTGTTATTCAGAGGTAATAATGGGAAAGTCTGATTCAATATAAAAGCTGTCATTCAATTTCGTAAGACTGTTCTTCACAACAATACTCAATCACTGTACCCTGCAAGTTGAAATAGTGTACATTCCTGAACTCCTATATTTGTAAATAAAATATGTTGACTCTTTCCACTTACAGTGCCGCCTGGTCACTGCCTCTCTTACTCATTGCTTCTCTTCTAATTTTTTTTAAAATGCATTAAAATTCCACTAGCTGCCGTGGTGGATTTGAACCCAGGTCCCCAGAGCAATAGCTGGTCTCTGGATTATTAGTCCATTGACTTTACTGGTGTAACACCGCAATGCTACTACTAGTTGCTCTCAGAGTCATCTATTCTATGGGGTTGGCACGGTGGCTCAGTGGTTAGCACTGCTGCCTCACAATGCCAGGGACTGGGGTTCAATTCCACCCTCGGGCGACTGTCTGTGTGGAGTTTGCACATTCTCCCAGTGTCTGCGTTTGTTTGCACCTGGTGCTCCCACAGTCTAAAGATGCGCAAGTTAGGTGAATTGACCTTGGGAAATGCAGCCTTACAGGGATAGGATAGGGTGTGGGTCTGGGTCTGGGTCTGGGTGGGATGCTCTTTGGAGGATTGGTGCGGACTGAATGGTGTGTTCCACACTGTAGGGACTCTGTGATTATTTGGTCATGATTTCAAGCTCCTCATTCAAATAACCTCTTAACCTTCGCGTTAGAAGAGGTGTTTTCAAACTCAAATAAGCATTAGGAGTAAACTATCCAGCTTTATCAAGTTGTTCTGTCATTCAATTTGATCATCATTAATCCATATCTCAACTCCATTCACTTACTTTTCTCATGGTACAAAACTAAATCCAAAATAGCCAGCTCTCTTTTTAGCTCCTCAGCATGGTCCAGAAATCCAGCTTGTGCAAACACCAAGGGTTCATCCTCTAAAATGTGAGTTCTGATTTAGTTATCCCAAACGACAAGCAAATTGTTGTCGCTTATTAATGCCATATTACGCAAATTAGATGCATCAATAATTTCTTGATTTAGTGTGCCCAACATTAGCACTACAATTTGATATTCTATAAACCCTTCCCTTTGTTGCTTCATTGCTCTACCCAACTGATTCTACATCTCGACCCTTTGTCTCAAATCCTCTCACACTAATGTACCGATCTCATTTTGTTATTCATCTTCTTTTCCTTTCCGTCTATAACTTTGTAAATCTAGAATAAACTTGGATATTCAGTTCCCAATCTCGATCACCTTGTAGCGATACCTCTGTACTGGCAATTAAATTATTTCTATTTGTGGATTCAAATCAATTGGCTTGTGAAGGCCACACAAAGTCAGATAGAATGTCTTTAATTCAACCTTTTCAACATCCTATTTGATGCTTGAAATTGCCTCGCCTGCCCTCTATTTTTGTTTAGGATTCTTTTATTTCCTTTTTACAGGTTTTGCTTTCCTTAAATCAGAGCACATCTTATGTTCCCATCACATTTAGACCCTCCCCAACAGAATGAGGAAGTCTCCTTTCACTGATGTTAGTTTCAGTCCTGCTATGATGCAGCCTGATGATCTTGATGATCTTGTAACAGGTCCCTTCTTCCCCAGGGGTGGTCCCAATGACTGAAAAATTAGAGGACCTCCCTCCTACACCAGTTTTCCAGCCATGTATTCAATCACTCAACTTTCACACTTCCATGCTCACTAGCAAGTAGGATTGGGAGTAATCCTAAAAAAATACTGCTTTAGCGGTTCTGCCTTTCAGTCTCCTCCTGAGCTTCCTGAAATCTGCCTTCATGACCTCATTCCTCCTTCCTATCTAAGGATGAGATGGACTTTAGGTTTTCATCTTCCTCCTGAAGAACGTACTCCAACTGCTCAGTGATATCCATAATCCTGGCAACACACCATCCTGGCTCTATATTTATGAGGCAGTGCAATTGGAATACCACATTGACGATGGCAATGATTCCTGACCCAACATAGCAAAGTCAACAGCAGCAATCTCTTTGGAAGATAGGACGTATTTTTCTCCTATTCCTTTTGGAGAGTCAGTGTCACTTTCCGAAATGAATAGGTCGGAAATAGAAAAAGGGTGGGGGGGGGAAGCGAGGAGTATAGGGGGCAAGGGGGAGTCGGGTGGGAGGGGTGTTGTTAGGAAGGGTAGTGGGGAAATGGGAAGTGATGGGGACGTAGTGGGTATTGGGGAAGGGGCGCAGGGATGCAGAGGGAAAG